AGGGGGGAGGCCTGGCGACGCTGCGCCCTGCCGGGCGCTCACTGACAGGGCCGGGGGGGCCGAGGCGGCCAGGGAGGAACAGCCAAAATGCCCCCTCGGCTTATGCGCGGGTCACCAATTTTTCCCAGTTCTCTGTGGGAAAATCGGTCCCTCGGCTTATACTCGGGTCGACTTATACTCGAGTATATACGGTATATAAAATCCCAATATTGGCTATAAATAAAAGACCAAAGTAACAAAGAAGAAATAATTTCTTTTTTAAAAGGCAATTCACCAAACCTCCTTACTTTGAGTAATAATACATTGGGATGCAAAGCTAGTTTGAATGCTACAGTTAGAATGTCTAAAATAATTATTGTGGTAAGGATTAAAACACTTTATTAAATGTAAACAATTTCACTTTTCTAGTTATCAGCAAATCCAAAAAAAACTCCAACTACAATACAGGTAATCCTTGACATATGACATAATTGGTACTTAAATTTCAGTTGTTAAATAGTGCAATTATTAAGTGAGTCATCACATGACTAGACTCAATTGTACAGCCATTTTTACTGTAGTCATTAAGTAAATCACACAGTCGTTAAGTGAATCTGACTTTTTCAATTGACTTTGTTTATCAGAAGCCAGCTGGAAAGTCACCAATAGTGATCACATGATCCTGGGATGTTGCAACTGTCATAAATTCAAGCTAGTTGATCTCAGGGTAGTGCAACCGTTGTAACATTGAGGATGGACCATAAGTCACTTTTACCGAGGAGTCATTACTTCTAATCATTGTTAAACAAATGATCATAAGCCAAGGACTTGTAACAACCTGTCCTATTTTATGCCAACTTTCTATTCCAATCTTTCTTTATAGTTCATACATAGAATTGGTGATCCTTGTTACAGATTTCTTTAGTACATTTAACCATATCTTTGTAAATCCAGTAAAAAGAAATCATTCCAATTGTCTTCTGGGATTGTCATTTTTATTTATTTTTTATTTTTTAAAGCCTCATCCAATTTTCTCTTTTTTTCTGAAGACAAATTCTTATTCAGGGTCTTGTTCATGTTTTTCTTGGGTAAACTTTGCTGCCTATCTTGTTCCTTTTTTGAGAATAGACTGTTTCAAGAAAATACAATATAGCTGACATAATTGAATCAAATTTCTGCGTCCAATGCAGATCCTAATACCATATTTCAACAATATCTCATTAATATAAATTAATTGTCTTATTGTGTCTCAAAAACAATTTTTCTTTCTCACCGCATGTATTTATACTTTAAAAATAACATCAAGGTCTTAATATTCCAAATTCTATATTCCAACATTTTCTGATCCTCAATCCTTTAAACATTTTCTGTAGTCAAAACTTGTCTTGTTTTTTGCTGTTTATTTAAATTATTAAGAATTATAAGAATAGATCTTCACATTAAGGATTGAAGGTGCTCACCTGATAATTACAGTCTTGTCACTTTGAAGCTGTCTAACTTCTTGGAGAAGTTGAAAGGCAATTTCTGAAGGTGGTTTTCAAGAAAATGTGCAAACTTCATATCCTTTGAAAAGGCTTAATTGTGGCTAGAGCAATTATGGAAAATATCCTCATTTCCTAACTCCTCCCCGCCCTTCAGAGATCTCTTCATGAGGAGCAACTGTAAGGAGAACAGTTTGGGTGATCTCATCTCCTCTCTTTCTATGATTGGCTTCCTTATTCATGGCTACAAATGTCAGCTCCAGACTGTTTATATTTTCAGAATATATGCATATATAAATATTTGAGGAAAAGCTATACAACAAGGCTAAAAAAATATTTCTGCACTCCTATTCAGAAAAGATGGAATATACAGAATTATATCCAACTGACTGTAATATAACTGAATGTTTAGGATTTGAAAATTTTATACTTTGAAGACTTAATGCTGTGGAATTACTTTCTCATTCACTTGGTGTTCATAAATTACACATGCTGAACTTACATTTTGTTTTTTCTTGCGGATTATAAAACTCCATGATTAATATATATATATACAAATGCATTGTGCAACTTGGTTGCATCTGAAACTTTACTGTGATTTATGCTTTCTTTCCCTGCTGCTCAGATTGTGGCTGAAATTATTATTTATTTGTTATTTTGAAAAATAACTCAAGATGGTGAACATACCCAACACACCTTCCTCCTCCTATTGTCCCCACAACAACAACCCTATGAAGTGAATTGGGCTGAGAGAGAGTGACTAACCCAAATTCACCTGGCTGATTTCATGGCTAAGGCAGGACTTGAACTCCTGCTTTCTAGCCTGGTGCCTTAACTACTAGACCAAACTGATTCTTGAATATGAAACAACAGCTCAAAGTATTATTACATTAATAAGTGTAGTTTTCTTTAAAAATATAGTAGCTGACTTCATTTTGCATTTAAATCTAGATGTTTTAAATTAATGATTCCCTGAATTAGTCATTTGGTGTCTATATCAATTTTCTACTAGCATTCCCTGCAGCTAAGAGTTGTTTCATACAGTAGAATTATGAAGGAAAATACAAATATACATGTTTACAGTATAATCATAAGGATGTGATATGGAACCTACCAATAGCTTCATCAAGAAAAGGTAGTTATGGCAGGTTCATTGTTGATTGAGACACAATTGACATTTATAGTGTTCTTCCTGACCCTTTGATTATATGTCATACCAAAGCCACTCTTGCAAGAAGCCTTTACTCTCCCTGACTTAATGAGAATCCTGCTTTAGTTGTTACAGATAATATAAGGAACTTGCCATTGCTAGTTGATCATTACTAAAAAGCAGCATAAAAGATGTTGGGGGGGAGGGCTGCAAGGCTGTCAAGATACTGGATTTGCTTTAATATATTAATCATATATTGCTATAAAGACAGTGGCCTGCTGAATCAACAGTAAGAAGTTATTAAGTGAGCATCCATCTTTGCTTTAACATTGTTGTTCCTGCACAAGTACTTTGTTGGAAATCTTTGGGTTTTACCAGGAAACAAATCCATCTGAGACTTGGTTCTACATCTTTGTATTTAATGATAAGTCCTCAAGATAGAACAAGAGTCTTCTAATGTAAACCCACCCTGTTCAATCTTTTTAAAAGATTGAATCAATAGATAGCTGACTAAATCAATCTGGAATAGTCTTGAAAATATCAGGGCTATTTTTACTAGATTGTGTGGCTTGGGAATAGCACATGGGAGTGCACAAGAGGTGCACATGAATCAGGAAAGGCATGCGGATAACAGTGCAGTCAGGGAAATTGGATGCCCAAGAAGTGCTGTATGGGTTGGAGAAGACACATGGGAGGTGGTGCAGATTGGGGAAGGCACATGGGGGCAGCACAGGTGGGAGCATGCAGAGGATGGCATGGATGGAAAGAGTATGTGTGGCTTGGGAATAGCACATGGGAGTGCACAAGAGGTGCACATGAATCAGGAAAGGCATGCGGATAACAGTGCAGTCCAAGAAATTGGATGCCCAAGAAGTGCTGTATGGGTTGGAGAAGACACATGGGAGGTGGTGCAGATTGGGGAAGGCACATGGGGGCAGCACAGGTGGGAGCATGCAGAGGATGGCATGGATGGAAAGAGTATGCAGGAGTTCTCAAAGGTACTTTTTCAAAGGCAACTGGGTTGCTTTTCCTTGAGAAAGAATGAAGCTTCTTGGATGAGAAGTGAAACATCTTCTTCTTCCTCAAGGAAAAACAGTCTAGATGCCTTTTGAAAAGGCACATTTGAGACAACTATGACCTGGATGATTGAGAATCTCTGTAGACATTATTCAGGGGTTTCTTCCCCCTTGCTTCTCCTCCCTTTCCCCTTCCTTTTCCAGCTGGCAGATAAATAGTTACTGATGGGGCAGGGAGGAAACAAGGAATGGTGAGACTGGCTCAGAAACTGTCATGGAATGTATAAAATGATGATCACATGATTGCAGCAGCAGTTTGCAGGAGCCAGTAACACTGAAGCAGCCACAACTTTCCTTAATGTCATTCGCTTGGGAATCATGGGTCCTAGATTTTGGAGACATTTGTAAATTGAATATTTTGGTTCAACAATTGTTGCCCTAAGGTACCCAGTTTAACCCAGCTAAAGAAAACTGCTCTGAGAATTGCTTCACTTGGTGGCCTTTTGACCCCATTAGGTAGAGCAGACCAGGAAATCAATTCCACTAGAAGGCTAAAACTATTTCTATAATAACAGAAACTTGAAGGTCTAATAAAGCTTCCTCTTCCTTCTATTTAGTAAATTAGGGAGGCATTTGCCTCTTCTGAATGTTGCTTCATTTGTGACCCAAAAATGCTTCAGTTCCTTTTATCTAGTCAATACTGTAGATCTTGTGACTCTACTTCAAAATCATCTTCCTTAATTTATTCATAGCCTCAATAGCTGATTCTAGATTTGACTCTATATGTACAACTCAGTTAAAATTAAATAAAGTGAAGTGTTAACATGATGTTAAGTGAAGAAGGTAAATGATCACATGACACCTAACTTGAACATACTGCATTGAATTTCTATCTATCTATCTATCTATCTATCTATCTATCTATCTATCTATCTATCTATCTATCATTTGACTTCTGTTGACTTCTATGTCGCCCATTTCGCTGAGGCATTTCTAGGCAGCTTATAGTCAAGGAATTAAAATACCACATAAAACATTAAAACAATAAATCAAAACTGTACATTTAAAAACTCAGGTATAATCAGTCTATGATCTGCCAGACCCAATTTAAAGTACGTGATAGGATTGGGCTCAAGGATTTAAAATGTTGCCCCCCCCAACACTATTCAGTAGATTAAGATTACTCAGAGAGGCATTGCCTGTAGTTTCACTGGTAGATATATATTTCTTTTTATTGATTATAAGCCCATCCTGAGCTTCTCTAGAAGGAAGAAGTATATTAATTAATTATTTTTAGAAAAAGCACTCTCTGTAACACCTTATACAAAGGGAAGGAAAAAGATTAATGCAGCATAGCATAGCCACTGCTTGTTATAAAGAAAACTTACTGATCTGGTCTAGATATATTATTTTAACTATGGAAGGATTTAACGAAACTGATTATTTGCTTAATTTTTATTTTCAGACCAATTGTCTTTTTAAAGATTAGGGATACGTGATTTAAACTTGAAAATAGGATATTTGGTTTATGAGGATTTCTTAAATAAATATTGCTTAATGAGATTTTGCAAAATGTTTCTCTGGCACAACCTTTATACTTCTTTTCTAAAGAAAATCCATGCATAGATTGTTAACAACTAAAAAGTTCATTTTTGGTATAAGTTCATTTTTCATTTTTATATCAAAAAATCTCAAATATAGTAGCTGAGTTCCCTCTTACTAAACTGAAGTGTAAACACTCTATAATCTAAGAACCTAAACAATGATACATTTTACTTAAATAGTTTATGGTGGTTGCTATAAAAACTTTAAACTCCAAAGGAGGTTTGGTTAATTCTACATTTGCTGGCAGGCAAATATATATTTCATTCAGTTCTGATGTTGAAATTGACTTGCCTTTGAATTTGGTCTAATCTGTTAACTGATTTGATTCCCATGGATGTATTTTTATTTGAATTGTAATTAAAATGCTTTAACTTATTAGCATTATCTTAAGCATAATTTTTAATATATAGATGAGATATAAATATATTATTAACAGTGAATAATTGGAAATTTAAAAACAAATATCCTTATTCTTAGTGCTGCTGGTGGAGAAATCTTTGACCAGTGTGTAGCTGAAAGAGAAGATGCCTTCAAGGAAAAAGATGTTAAGCATCTCATGAGGCAGATTTTAGAAGGAGTTTCCTTTTTACATCAAAATAATGTAGTTCATCTTGACTTGAAGGTAAGATAATGATTCTGAAGAACTGAAGCAATATTAAAGATCCATTTTCCTCTTAAACTCTTCTTTATATTAAAAGTTGTTTTATTTTTTTAGATGTTCTGATTGCTTATTTTGAAGAATAGACAGTGCCATTTTAAAGGTTTGATTTTTGGTGGAAAAGACTTTTCTGCCTATTTAGGAACTTGCTTCTACCTCTGCCAAACTGTTCTTCAGTTGATGCCAGTATGTACTGCAGGTTATTTTAGCTCTGTTTTTTTTTCCTGATAATTAGCTGTACATCCAAATATAACGTTATACAATTGTGTAGAGTCCAGACTGAGAATCTTCTAATATTGCATACCTTGGTACATATTCATTGTGCACATGTGAACCAGCTTTTGTCTTGTTCCTCAATTTCTTGAAACACTAAAATAGGAAACTTGGTGTACCTGCCAAGTCAGGTACCAGCAGAGGGGAAGGGAGCATATTTATGTAAAGGCAGATTAAAAACCACAATTTTAGGTAAATAATTGGATCTACATGGTTTTTGTCTATTATGTGTATGGGGTGATTAATGTTTACCTCCCATATGATAAGGTAGTGCATCATGCCAAAGAAGGATTGAGAACAAAAAACTTTATCAAAATGATGTTTGAATTTCTACTTGAGGAAGGTTAATGTTTGAAACTGTAATGTTCTCTTGCAGCAGTCTGGTTAAGGAATGCTATGTTGTATATAATGGAAAATGAAGATGCATTTATTTTAGACTGATTCCTAGACAAATTGATACCAGTTGACCTATAACGTTACAAACCAGTGTTATTGTCTGAGCAAAACATTAGTAATGACAGGCAAATCCTATTTGGATTCCCCATATAAGAAAGTCTTAGAAACCAATAAAATATTACAGTGCAGTGCCACATAAAGCTAAAGAAGATTGCACATCCAGTAAATGCAAGAAACTCTTGCTATCATATCTCCCCTATTTCTTCTTTTCTTTAGTCAAACCCAAGTTCTGCAGCTGTTCTTCATAATGTTTTGGTCTCCAGGCCTTTGATCATCTTAGTTGCTCTTCTCTGAAAATTTTCACAACTCTCAACATCTTTTTTGTGATATGGTGACCAAAATTGGCTGCAGTATTCAAGGTGTGGTCTTACTAGGGCTTTATAAAGCAGTACTAATACTTTGCGTGATCTTGATTCTATGCCTCTGTTTATACAACCCAGGATTGTATTAGCTTTTTTGATTGCTGCTGCACACTGCTGGTTCATAGTTAAGTGATTGTCCACTAGGACTCCAAGGTCCCTCTCACAGTTAGTTTTTAAGCCAGGTCTCACCTAATCTGTATTTGTTCCTTTGGTTTTTCCTGCCTAAGTGTAAGACTTTACTTTTCTCCAAATTGAAACTCATTTTGTTGGATAAGGCCCATTGTTCAAGTTTGTCAAGATCTTTTTGGATCCTGAGTTTGTCTTCTGAAGTGTTGGCTACCATGACAGTTTGGTGTCATCTGCAAATTTGATGAGTTCCCTTCTATTCCCTCATCTAAGTCGTTAATGAAGATGTTGAAGAGTACTGGGCCTAAGATGGAACCTTGTGGTACCCCACTGCTTACTTCTCTCCATGTGGATGTAGTGCCATTGAGGACTACTCGTTGAGTACGGTTTGTCAGCCAGTTACAGATCCATTTGTTGGTGATGTTGTCTCTTCCATCTTTTTCTAGCTTACTGAGGAGTAGGTTGTGATCCACTTTGGCAAATGCCTTACTGAAATCTAGGTATACTACGTCCACTGTGTTTCGCTGGTCTACTGGTTTGGTCACTTTATCAAAGAATGAGATGAGATTGGGTTGGCATGTTCTGTTTTTAACAAACCTGTGCTGGCTGTTAGTTATGACTTTGTTTGCTTCTAGTTGTTCGCAGATTTGTTTTTTGATTATCTTTTCTAGGATCTTCCCAGGTATTGATATTAAACTGATTGTTCTATAGTTTCCTGAGTCTATTTTTTCCCCTTTCTTGAAGATGGGGACCACATCAGCCCTTTTCCAATCCTCTGGTACTTCCCAGGATTTCTGAAAGATGTGGTGCAATGATTCTGAGATAACATTTGCCAGCTCCTTCAGAACTCTGGGATGTAATCTGTCGGTCCTGGTGATCTATATTCATCAAGGTTGGATAGGTGTTCTCTTACCATTTTCTTGCTTATTTTGATTTTTGTTTCTATTATGTCTTTTGCAGGTTTTTTTGGGTGTGTTGGGCTATGGTTTCTTTTTGTGTGAAGACTGATGCAAAGTATGAGTTAAGCAGCTCTGCTTTCTCCCTGTTGCCTGTAATTTCCTTGCCATCTTCTCTCTTTAGTGGGCCTACAGTTTCCTTGAGTTTTTTTCTTGTTGTTAATATGCTGTAAGAAACTTTTTTTGTTGTCCTTGATTTCTGTTGCGAGTCTTTGTTTATTCTGGGCCTTTGCTTTCCTGACTTCTTCTTTGCATGTTCTGGCTGTCTGCTGATAATCGGCCTTGGTTATATGCCCCTCTTTCCATTTTTTGTATTTGTCCTTTGTGTCTTTTAGTTTCTTAGAGAGATCTTTGTGCAGCCATGCTGGTTTCTTCTTGGATTTCTTATTTTTCTTTCTCAGTGGTATTGTGGTGGTCTGGGCTTTTGTGATCACATTTTTCAGGGTTTCCCATGCTTCTTGGGTTGTTTTCCCCTTTAGGATTTTAATCCATGGGATCTTTCCTAGGTTCTCTCTGAATTTGTTAAAAGTTGGCTCTTTTGAAGTTTAGGATGTTGGTTGGATTGTTTTCTATTGCTAGTATTTGTCTTATATTAAATTCCAGTATGACGTGATTGCTTTCACCCAAGGTTCCGGCAATTTTGATTCCCTCTATCACTTCTTCTCTATTTGTAAGGATTAAGTCCAGTATAGCTTTTTAAAGAACTCCCTGCCCCTGATTTTCCTGTTGCTTCTTTGCACATATTACTGAGCAGCATTTGTGGGAGCCCTTTGAGGAGCTTCTCCATGGTCAGGACTCAGCAACTGAATAGCAAATCACGGTGTTCCCATTATGCCACTTGGAAATCTCATGACATCATCATTGGATGAATACCTGGAAATTTTACTTTTTAACTAAGTTTAATGTGCCTTTTTATAATTTTCCATCTTGGGATTTATAGCATCCTGTAAGCTTTTGTTTCAAAGTTAAGGCCTAAGAATCTAGCACCACCAAACTAAAGCAATATTTACATTGGTAAAAAGTGCATGCTTTACATAATTACAAGTTTTGCTGTCTGTAAAAAATATATATTTAATTTGAAAAATGAGACTTACGGCCAAAAAGATGTTATGCTGACTAATCAGATAAGCAAAGTCTTACATCACAGTTACAGTACAATGTACAATAAAAGGAGCTCTATCTCAGGACTTTTCAACCTTTTCACCGACTGTACCACTTCTAGGATATGGCAATATTCAAGTACCACCTAGCAAGGTGTCAAAAACTTGATGACCCCCCCCCAAAAAAACCCAACCTGTTCAAAGTTGCAATTGCACTGAAATGACTTATGACCATTTTTCACACTTATGACCATTGTAGCATGCCCAGGGCCATGTGATTTATATTTGGATGCTTGGCAACTGATTCATATTTATGATGGTCACAGTGTTCCAGGGTCATGTGATCCCCTTTTGCAACCTTTTGACAAGCAAAGTCAATGGCAGGGTTGCTGGTGCCCAAGTGCTAAGGTGGGACTTCCCTCCCTCCTTTCCTGCCTCCCTCTTTCTCATTCCCATCTCCTTCTGAAGGAAGAATTTGAACCCCCCTATATTTTCTCTCTTCCATATATTCATCAAACAAGGAAAAGCCTCCAGAGACAGAAAAGACAAGCTGCTGAGTGAACTAGCTTAAAAAGGCACATTCCCTTTTAAGAATTAGCTGCTGGCTAGAAAATAAAGTTAAGGAGCCGGCAGCCGGCACTTAAGAAAGAAAAAAAATGTAGTAAGTAATGGCTGCCAGCTAAGGCAGCCTCGCCAAATGGCTCCATTCTTAAGTAAAGGAATGCTACAGGCAAAATCTGTTCAGGAGAAAAATACTTCAAAATCCCTTGCAGCAAAACGTACAGCTAACAATAGCAGAGCAATAGAAGCTAACACGAGACATCAACCATCCGCCAAATAGAAATTGGTGTGAAGAAACCTAGCTATTAAACAGAGAGAGACATTTAAATGTAGAGATGACAGTTTATACTCAGTATTTGTGAGGTTGTGGATGTGGTTTTTTTAAGTTTAGTCTTTGGGATTTGTCACCATGAGGTAATCTATACATACAGATCATTGTCTATTCATGTACTGTAGCTTCCTGCAAGTCAGTATGGTTGGCAGGAATCCATACAGCAGCAGCTTTTCTCTTTGTGGAGAATGGCAGCCCCCTTGGGTTTAGGCTGGGGCCCTGCTCAGCTGCAACATTGGGATTATTGTATATTGTCTCTGGATAATAATAGATCAATTACTTGAGTCCCTCAGATGACAATGAGATTATTGACAGTATGGGGATGAATCATCAACATGGAAAATACAGAACTGTAGTACATCCCCAGTTGAGAGAAATGTATCTATTATTAATGCTTGAGCAAGCACTGGCAAAGTAAATTAACAACTTCAGAGCAGGATACTCAGGAAAGCCATCAAGTGAAGTGGTAACATTGGAAAGAAGACTATGATCTGCTAAAAAAAATCAGTTAAAAGCAATTTATAGTATTCTGATATTAATTCTAGTGAAGTAAAGGATTACCATTGTAGCAACTGATATATATATATAGGGCTGATTTCAAACCAGTTTGGCAAGGAAGAAAGAACTATGCTAGTAAAAAATAAAGACTTCACTTGGATTGAGACCAGGATATTCATATACTGGGGTTTTTTTGAACAAGTTTTATTATTTTTTCAAATTTTTACATTTAGGTGCTTAGGAAGCAGCGTTGTGATAGGGTAATCAATAGTCCAATAACAAAATCATTCATGTATATCTCAGGTTACATCAATAAGGATTCCCTCTCTAGTTCCCTTAAATATTATATCATGTTCATATTAATACATTTCTAACTAAAGCTCAGTCAATCAATACATTTATCTATGACGTTTTACTTATACATATCCAAGTCCTGTTTTTAAGTTTTGCTTAATTCCAATTCTATGTTTCAATTTAACCTTTTATAACCAATATTTAAGTTTCGGATAACCTTAATTTCCCTCATTTCATTATAAAATACTTAACACAACTAGAATAGACATATTGGTCCAAAATTTTCCTTCTTACTTTGTCCACAAATATATTCTATTTCATTTACTAACAAAAATCTTCCATTATCACAAATGTATTTCCATCTGACAATCAAAACTATAATCTAACAATTAATTTTAATTTCCCTTATAAGTCTTAATCCTGGATATTAAACCAATCACTCCAAAGAGCTACTTAGCCCATTAAGTGAATTTTTAAATCCCATTTTTAAATCTAACTCTGGCTTTCTTTTTGTGCCTGGCAGGCATCATCATCATCATAATAATAATAATAATAATAATAATAATAATAATAATAATAATAATAATAATAATAAAGTTGGAAGGGACCTTGGAGGTCATCGAGTCCAACCCCCTGCTCAGGCAGGAACCCTACACCATTTCAGACAAATGGCTCTCCAGTCTCTTCTTAAAAACTTCCAGTGTTGGAGCATTCACCACTTCTGGAGGCAGGTTGTTCCATTGGTTAATTGTTCTAACTGTCAGGAAGTTTCTCCTTAGTTCTAAGTTGCTTCTCTCCTTGATCAGTTTCCACCCGTTGCTTCTCGTCCTGCCTTCAGGCACTTTGGAAAATAGCTTGACTCCCTCTTCTTTGTGGCAGCCCCTGAGATATTGGAACATTGCTATCATGTCCCCCCTCATTCTTCTCTTCGTTAAACTAGACATACCCAATTCCAGCAACCATTCCTTATATGTTTTAGCCTCCAGTCCTCTAATCATTTTTGTTGCTCTTCTCTGTACTTTTTCTAGAGTCTCAGCATCTTTTTTACATCGTGGTGACCAAAACTGGATGCAGTATTCCAAGTGTGGCCTTACTAAGGCATTGTAAAGTGGTATTAATACTTCACGTGATCTTGATTCTATCCCTCTGTCAATGCAGCCCAGCACTGCGTTGGCTTTTTTGGCAGCTGCAGCACACTGCTGGCCCATATCTAAGTGATTGTCCACTAGGACTCCGAGATCCCTCCCACAGCTACTACTATTGAGCAAGGCACCCCCTATACTATACAGAGGTACTGGCTTCCATACCAGTACCTCTGAATCCACTGATGTATCTCCCTTCATTCCCACACATGTTGTTTGAACCAAAGGAGAACATCCAGTTATCAATTTTTCAAAGGAACTGGCCCCTTTGTAATAATTAGGTTGTTGGCCTAATAATTCAAATCTCCATGTTTGGTTTGGGATATTTGTAATGAGTTCAAGCTGGTCCTCTTGTTCTTCTTCCAATTTCGTCTGAGTAAAGCAAAAAAGTCATATCTGGTGTTGTAGTTATTGTTTGGTTAGCTAAATTGTCTAAGTTCTCAATGTAGTATGTTTCTTGATCAGTTCCTGTTGCTTTTGAAGTTATAGATACTGTAGAGTATTTGCAAAATTGAGCTATAAGGCTGAAGGCCACACACAGAGGAAGAAGATAATGACCAGTAACTCACAAGAACTAACTTATAATATTTTTACAAAGAAAAATTATAGCAACAACCAATTTAATTGTGTTTATGAATCTTACAATTTTGCTTCATCAGACCCTGCAGATATACTTCTGTTTGTCAAACCATTTCTAGCTATTTCTGTGAAAAAGTGCACATACTCCTATTTCTGTTTTTAATGGCTGAACTATTTTCCAGTAAGCTTATTTCCCTTTATATGTTTTTAGCCGCAAAACATTTTGTTAACTTGTGAATCGCCATTGGGAGAAATTCGGATAGTTGACTTTGGACTTTCCAGAGTAATGAAAAATAATGAAGAACTAAGAGAAATTATGGGAACACCTGAATATGTTGGTATGTTTGTTATTTATATGATCTTCAGAACAAATACCCTGCAGCATATAATGCAAATGTTTGAGTTATGTGATATTTATCAGAATTTAAGCTTAAGGTGTTTAATATTTAAGAATTTAATGTTTCATATCTTATAATATCCAATTTCTATTCCAATAGAAATTCAGAAGAACAAATAAAACCTTTTCACAGTTTGTGTGAGCATAACCTACATTCATTAGTTAGCATTACATTCCTTAGATTTCATTTGATTCTTGCAGCTGGGCTAGCAAAGCAGATTTTCCAGTCATCTTTTCCCCAAGGTAACAATAGTAATAGCACTTAGACTTATATACTGCTCTATAGTGTTTTACAGCACTCTCTGGGCAGTTTACCTCTGAAGGATGGAAGACTGAGTCAACCTTAAGTCCATTAGAATTGAACTCCAGTATATGGACAGAGTTAGCCAACAATACTGCATTCTAATCATTGCAACACCCGGGCTCTTATAAAGTAGTTCCTCTAATTCTGTGAAAATGCTTTGTAGAATATTGAAAGCATTTTATCTGCTTGTAAAGTAAGCTATAGGAAGGACACTCGTGAAAAATCAAGTAATTGCACTTTCACTACCATCCATTCCTGTAAACTGAGTTTTTGGAAACTCTCCTTACACAGTATGTCCCAGTACTATATAATTTCTTAAAAATCTCAAAAAAGATAGTAAAATACTATTTAGTCATGATCACAATAAGGAAATAATTAGGTTTTAATAAATTGCTTCCAGAAGGCAATTAGTTCATTTTTTAATATTCAAGATTTATTACATGTTTGATGTTTTTTATACAATTTGCCTTTGAATGTATTACACTTCAACTTACATCTCCAAATGAAGTTTATATATTCTATCCCTTTCACATTATTATACTGTTTCAGTTCTCACTTCCAAGGGCTGAAGAATTTGTTTCTACCAACTAGATTGCACATGTCAAAAGAAATACAAACCACCATCTCTTTGCCATCTTATTGTTGTCTTTTTTTGCAATTTAACTGTATTTTTTCTAATAGCTCCAGAAATTCTAAACTATGATCCAATCAGCACTGCAACAGATATGTGGTAAGAAAAACACTTTATTGAAATGTTAACTCAAAACCACATATTTTTCTCTCATGAAGCTTACACATTTTTATTTTGTTTTTCTATTTAGGAGCATTGGAGTGTTAACATATGTCATGCTAACAGGAGTGTCACCATTTTTGGGGAATGATAAACAAGAAACATTCTTAAATGTATCTCAGATAAATGTAAATTACTCTGAAGATTTTGATCTTGTATCTGAATATGCAGTAGATTTCATCAAATCTCTTTTGATTAAAAAACCTGAGTAAGATGTATTTTAATCATTTTGCTTCATGAATATTAATCTATGTAAATGAAAAATAAGAATTGCAAATGTAAATGATTATTTAAGTTACTTTACTCTTGGCTTAATATATTTCACAATATCATATCATGTGATTTTGCATTAGCAGTAGATTTAGCTATGATTCTGAAGATTAAACTGAAAATATAAAACTTTATAGATATGATTTTAATACATGTAATTTAACTTTTCTGGAGGTAGATTCACAGGTTGATGTTCAGGGCTACTGTGATATAATCTATTTATTTCATCCTAAAATAAAAAATAAGCTCTGATTAAAACTCTGATAAGTTTTAAAAAAGAATTTGACTACTTGCAATAGATTGTATCCTAACATTTGAAAAACATAGTTCATGTGAAGTTGAAATATTCTCAAAGCTAACAAGATTCCAGAGAGGCGTTTTCTTCAAAATGATCAAAATGTTGATCCAGATAAAATAACTGTCATAACGTGACTATTGAATTATTCTTAGTTGTGATTTATTTATGATTATTCAAATTATGCAGTCTAATTTAGTATATAATTTACAGTACAAGTCACCATTTAAAATAATGTGAAATAGATTTTGAATGTGATTTTAAGCCTTAAAATTTTGTTGCCAGACTCTTTAAATCAATTTCTCTCTTTTTTCTATTTAGGAAACGGGCAACTGCAGAAGAATGTTTGCTGCATTCTTGGCTGGCTCAAACTGATATTCCTGATAAAATACGCTGTATTAAAAACACAGAAGATGAAACAAATGCCATTATTGTAAATGAAGTCTCTACATCTGAAAATTCTAGAAATGGAGAAAAAACAGAAGAACCAGTAGTAAAAGAAGAGCTTATTTTAATGGCTTCCTATACACTGGGTCAATGCAGGCAATCAAAAAAAGATAAAATTGTTACACACAAAACTATTTCAAAATTATTTAAATTTAAGGAACCATTTCTCCATGAAATACCTGGAGTTTACTGAAAATACTGAATACCTGCAATTTATTGAATTGCAGCTTGTTTCTACTTTGAGCCCTAACTTGCCTGATTGGCTCTTTTCTTTTAGATCAATTATGTACAGCCAAATAACATTCATATAAAAATTGTAAAGTAGAAGGAAAATATTAAAAAATCATCTGCCAAACACCTTAATATTCTATGGAATTGATAATATTGGAAATACTTAATATAGAAAAAAGTTGAAACATTAGTTTATTTTAAAATATCCAATACATGTAAAGCATTGTTTTAGATGTTCTGTTCAATTACGTATTCATGGTAGATATTTCAGTTGCCTGAATAAAACTGATGTATTTTTTCAGGTGCATAAAATAGCTAGTTAGAATTTGAATACTAGTATATAAGTTTCCAGATTTCATAATTTAATATTATTTCTGATAAATACCTCTATCTGTACTCCTAACTTTAATTTTAATGTTTGTCATTGGGAAAAGAAGTTTTTTTGAAATATGTATATTAGTTTTGGTATTTAATTTATATACTTATCATTTGGGACCAATAATGCTGTTCTTCAGTTATTAGGGAAAAATGCAAAGTATTTTTAGTTTCTAATATGTTCAGATAGACTTGTATCTAATTTGGCCAGTGGGCTTTTACTGATCCTATTTTTAGCTTTGCTCCTAAATTTATTTTATTTCAACACTCCTAGTTTATCAAGATGTTTTGTCTTCTTTAAAAAAATTGATCACAGAAATATATATATCTTACTATTTTGCAGATTTTTTCTTCTACTTATAAAAGGATAGCTGTGCTATAACTCAAAGAATGAAAGACCCCTAGAAACCTACTTATTTGCAGAATGTACATCATGCAGTTTATCTATCATCATTTGTTTGCTTCTTAAAATTTATATTCTACATTCATGAAAAGTGCTTTATTTCTAATAGATTCAGAACCATATTTAGACTGTAGGATTCAAATAGAATAATTTGATTAATTTTCTGTAAAATTTCAACATTAGTGCACTAGAAAACTTGAAGAAATGTTCAGTATGAAGCTAGTATATTAATTTATATTAAGTATAAATGCAAGTTTCTGACTCCATACTTCTTTATAAGGAATTGTGAGGCTCTAGCAATGCTTCTCACAAGTTAAAAATGGAATTTCAAGGAAACATTGATTTGGTGCTTATTATTAATTAATACAATATTTGTGTTTGTGTCTTTTCATATTTCAATTCAGGTGCATTCTTAATATATATATATTTTTCTTAGCTCGTAGTTGTAAATCTGAAAAAACTAAAGGGTTTTACAATTATGAGTTACCTATACAGAATGAAACCATGATTTATTGTAACTGGATAAAGAGGATGTCTGTTATTTTCAATTGCATATTAAATTGGACACTATGTCATCCACAACAAGATCATTACACAAGTGATGTGAATTATGTTATTTGTATTATTTTTGTTACTGTATGATTATAAAACGATGACAATTTACCTATGACTGCAATGGAGCCTGCTCATTATGGTTGCATGTTGCAAGACAGCCCCTTCCCCTTCTCTCACTGAAGTGCTCATTAAAAAATCTAATCATTTCTTCTAGGCAGCTTCTAGTTGGAAGTATAGATAAGGACTTGCACTCTGGATACTTTGATCATAATGCAGCATAGTCAACAGGAAGTAGGAGTACCAAATAAAGTGTTATGAATAGTAGATAAACACCATGTCTTTAAATAGCTAAGCAATTTTACAAAATCCTGATAGGTGCACTATGATTATGGAAACACCGCCTTTAAATACTACAGCCCAATAAGGTTCTTCCATTGGCCAATACAAAAAATATTTATTTAATATGGTAAACTGTTTTTTCTAGTTCTTTGATGATCTTTAGAAGTCTTTTTTTTTTCAACTCCCCAAAGAGGAATATTCGTAATGTTTTAAGGAAATGTTCAAATCTGAAATTGTTTCCTGCTTTCCAGTAAAAAAAAAAGTCATTCCATTCCAAGGAATTTCTATTAAATAATACTACCAAAGTTTTAATTGCTTCATAATTTTTGCTATGTCTTAGTTGAAAAATTATCTCCACCACTAATAATAGTATTTGTTTTACTAGTATAGTCCTGAAAGCCAAGAGTAGTTGGTAGTTCAACTCTAAATGGTCTATTACATATTACAGGTCACAAAATCAGTGAAATTATGCCAAGCTTCTAATTGACTTTGTAGTTGTGTCATTCATTTCATCAAATTCATCAAATTTGACGAAATAGTTTTTTCTCTCTACTTTAGTGGCTAAATTTTGTTTGATAGTTTTGTTCTCTGAGGCATCAATATGTAATTGGAATTCACAAGGATTCATCTTATTGACCTAAAACTTTAATTCCACTTCCTTTTTCCTCAGCAAAGCTTACATAAAAAGTACTATTTTTTCTTCATAGCTAAAATTGGGCTTCCAAAACTATATTTGATTTGCTTGTAATTGAGACAATAATTATACTGAAAAGCATTAGCAATTGAAGTTTAAGAATTTATTTCCAGAATATTAGCTATGCTACTTGAGCTGACAAATGAGAATACAATACTTTCTCTGATATGTATGCAATTCTCAAATGTCCAGCTAGCAAATCCAAGAAAAGAACTCCTGGGACATAGTTCTTCCCAAAAGTAACACTTTTATTGAAAATACATATTGATAAAAAAAGAAACAAAACCAGCTCTGAATTTCCCACTTGAATGTCCACATAATTAAACTTGAATCCCCCATTTGGCCGTCCCTTTCAGTCCATCACAATGTCCAATCACATACATTCATTTTGTTATGGGAACTGCCTGGACCGTTCAAACACCTGCGCAGTGTGGCCTTGAAGGGAGGAGCAAGGTCTCACGATCTGCAGACAGATTCTTGGCATTCCATTCCCACCCCATGCAATTCAACTGCCCCCCTCCCAATTGGTATCAAGTTGAGAGCGGAGAAGAACTAGGTGAAAAGCGAATCACTCTTGACAACATCTTTGTTCCCATTTTGTAAACAATATCAAACAATTGTTAAAAAGGGGATTTGTTTTAATACAAACATTGATTCACTATCTTGTATATTCCAAGCAATGCAGTTTGATAAAAGATTTTACATGATTCAATTAAAAAAATTACTAAAGCTTACTATGAGACACTTTATAAGACTGAGATGGTCTCGAATGAGGCAATACAGGACTATTTAAAAGAAGCCAATCTTCCAAAGGTATCAGAGAATGTGCAACACATGTTAAACGAGAAGATAACAATGATGGAGATCACAGGCGATAAAAAGGCAAAAGGATAAAACTCCGGGACCCAATGGTCTCCCTGCAGAATTTTACGTAGCTTTACAAGATATAGTAAGCCCGATCCTGAAAGACCTTTGTAACGAAACTCTTTCAGAGATAAAAATACCCAATTCATGGACAGAAGCCAATATTTCCCTCATACTTGCTTGGAAGTACTTGCTTGCTTGGAATTTTACTTGGAGCTGCTTGCTTGGAATTTTACAACTGTGAGTGAAAAGAAGGGGGGAGGGCAAAATTAGCAAAGGCCCTACTGATTGGATACTTTATTGCATTTAACTCCCTAGAGTTTGCTGGAAACTTCTTGCTTGGAAGTACTTGCTTGCTTGGAATTTTACTTGGAGCTGCTTGCTTGGAATTTTACAACTGTGAGTGAAAAGAAGGGGGGAGGGCAAAATTAGTGGCCTGCGCGCCATTAGGCGCGCAAATCATATAACTAAAAATCATAAACAGCAGTGGTACATTCAGGGCAAGTGTGTCTGAGATTCCTTGTATCTAAGAATGTCTGGCTTAGTACAGTGCAACACTTGCTTTGCAGCTGTTTTCCGCAGTACCCTCTTCAAACTTGGAAACTCCTATCTGTAAACAAATCACTAGTCTACAAGGACAGATTATCTAGGGTCTGTAATCTGTGCTCTTCAGGCAGAAATTAGGTCTCCAGTTCAGCCCTTCTACTCTATTGAGCCTCCGCGCTATCAGCCCCCTCTACCACAAAGATCCTGCAGGAGAAGGGCAGTGTGGACAACCGTGGGATCTGGCAGGGTGAGAGCTGTGAACCATAAACACAAAGCTTTCGCTGTGTCCCTGCACAACAGATACAACACCCTTGCTGACCTTAATAGGGAAATTAAGGAGACAGGTAAAGGTATTTGTGATGATGACTCAAATATGCAGGGGATTGTGGACCGAGATGAAGAACTTGTTTCTGACAGGGAGAAGTGCGAATCAGATATTACACACCAATCATGCAAGAACAGAAAGGCATCCAAAAAGAGAAGCCACCTTCTGGTTGGTGATTCAATTGTAAGGGATGTAAATTTAGGAAAGTACACGGAGGTTTTGAAAGAGGTCAGATGTCTCCCAGGTGCTACTGTCAGTAGGGACAAGAAACGTATTTCTAAAATAATTAAGAATACCAGCAAGGACTGTGATATGGAGGCTATTGTACATCTTGGCACTAACGATCTGTCCCAAAAAGATGTACTCTCTGTGCAGAACGATTTCCAGAGCTTGGGGCAGGAACTTAGCAAAATAGGCTGTAGGCTAACTTTTTCAGAGGTTATACCAGTGTATAACGATCAAAACGGAAAAGGCCAGCGTATAGCACAATTCAATATGTGGCTAAAGGAGTGGTGTAAAGGGGAAGGCTTTGGATATATTAGTCATGATGTCAGTAGTTGGTCCCATGACAAAATGTACAAAAGAGATGGTTTACATCCATCAAAGAAAGGGACTGAATTACTTGGCTATAAATTCACAGATTTTCTGGAGGAATATTTAAAGTAAACAGCGGGGACAGTGAGTTAATCGATACAGAGCATCCCTGTCCCCGGCAATCTAAAAACAATAGGGCTATCAGTGCATGTAACATAGATATGTGTGTGGACAAAAACACCAACCTTGCTGTCAAGCAAAATCAAGCTTCTAATAACGAGTGCCACACAAATGCACTAACCAAATAGATGGTAAGACAATAGGGGAACTCAGGCACCACTCAGGTTATGTAGAAAGTAAACACAGGGTCGGTCATAAAGGACTCAAATGTCTATACACCAATGCACAGAGTATGAACAGCAAAAGGTGAACTAGAAATTCAGGTCAATGAGGGCAGATATGATATTGTTGCCATTACAAAAACATGGTGGGATGAAACCCACAAATGGAACACACAGCTAGAGGGATTTAAATTATTTAAAAGAAACAGATCAAATAAAAGAGGAGGTGGAGTTGCTCTCTATATAAGAAATAACTACATCTCCACAGAAATAGAGCACAACAATGACGAAAACTGTCTTGAATGCATTTGGGTCAATATAAAAGGGAGAAAAAATTACATTGCCATAGGTGTATACTATAGGCCACCCAACCAAACAGAGGAAATAGATGAACTTTTTGCTAGTCAGCTAACTAAGGTATGTAGGAAGCACATCACCATAGTAATGGGGGACTTTAATTACCCTGACATCAACTGGGAGACAAACTTTGCACCAAGTGGAAGATCAAACAGATTCCTGACAAACCTAACAGACAACTTTGTCTCCCAAAAAGTAGAGAAGGGAACTAGGGGATTAGCCATTTTGGATCTAATTCTCACTAACAGAGATGAAATGATAGAAGGTGTTGAAGCCACAGGAACCTTGGGAGGTAGTGATCATGCAATATTGGAATTCAACATTATGGAAACACAAGCAATAGAACATAGTCAAACTAGAGTCTTGGACTTCAAGAGATTTAATTTCAATAAACTTAGAGAGGGCTTGGGAAAGATTCCATGGATGAGAATCCTCCAGGGGAAAACAATGCAAGAAGCTTGGGAAATTTTGAAAAGCAAGATAATAGAAGCCCAGTCTACCTCAATACCCACAAAGAGGAAAAATAACAGCTCTCAAAAGAAACCAGCATGGCTGCATAAAGAACTCTCTGACAAATTGAAAGATAAAAAGGACAAGTATAGAAAGTGGAAAGAGGGGCACATAACTAAATCAGAATATCAACAAATAGCCCGAGCCTGCAAAGATGAAATGAGGAAAGCCAAGGCTCAAAATGAACTATGGCTTGCGACCAAAGTCAAAAATAACAAAAAAAGCTTCTTTCAACATGTAAAAAACAAGAAAAAAGTGAAGGAAACGATTGGTCCATTAGTGGGGGAAAGTGGTAAGAAGGTGACTAGCAATAGGGAGAAAGCAGAACTATTTAACTCGTTTTTTGCATCTGTCTTTACACAAAGGGAAAAAACAGACCAACCTATCAAAAACAGTGCCATAAAAAACAGTATAGAAACACAAGTTAAGATAGGCAAGAAAATGATAAGTGAGCACCTGTCCAGCCTAGACGAGTTCAAATCACCAGAACCAGATGGATTACACCCCAAGGTTCTCAAGGAACTGGCAGATGTGATCTCAGAACCACTGAACTATATTTTTCAAAGATCTTGGAGCACAGGG